TTTAGTCCCAATAAGTATCGAACTGCTCTCTTTTGAAGTTTGAAAATACGATCAAATTTTGTCGCGCAGGAAGTACCCCAGAATGGAAGGGCATAACGAAGATGCGACCCAAAAAGGGCATAATAGACCATTCTAGAGGTTGATGAGTTAAGTTCCTTAGAAACTGATCTTAGCGCAAAACAGGCAGAGCTTAGTTTCTTTGATAAGGCTTCGATGTGCAAGTCCCATTTTAACGAGTTGTCTACAACAAGTCCTAAGAATCTCACAGATTCTCACGACGTCAATAGTGGTGTTATTAAGTACAAAAGGTTGCATAGTACTTTTATATGACAAAACTTTAGTTTTTGAAAGGTTGAGGCATAGGAGATTAGAATCGCACCAAGATTTAATGGTGCGTAATCACTGGATATAGTATTATATAGTGCCGTGACATCTGGGCCGCTCCAAGTGAAACTAGTATCGTCCGCAAAGAGGCAGTTTTTACCGCTAATGTCTAGATTTGCAATGTCGTTGATAAACACCAGAAATAAAATAGGGCCAAGTACGGAACCCTGAGGGACACCACATTCTATAGGCTTACAAGAAGACATAGACGTATCAATCCTCACAAGCTGCCTTCTGTTGCCAAGATACGACTTAAGCCATTCGAGCGACACTCCCCTGAATCCATAGTATTGCAATTTGTTAATTAAGATATTATGATTTACACAGTCGAAAGCCTTAGAGAAATCACAGAAAATTGTAGCTGTAGAGTGATGGTTATTCAGACTAGAGGCTATACATTATTAAAAAGGTCGAACATAGCATCATTTGTGCAACTGTTACTTAGAAATCCAAATTGATGGGTAGAAAGTACTTTATATTTAAGGAGAAAAGATAGAAGCCTTTTTTTAACCAATCTTTCAATGATCTTAGATAATGTGGGCAGGAGAGCAATTGGGCGATAGTTCGAAGCTTGATCTTTATCTCCTCCTTTATGCAGAGGAATAATTATTGCTGTCTTAAGGCAGTTTGGAAAAACTTCTTTTTGGAATGACTCATTAATTAAAGTAGTAAGATAGATTAACGTGCATTCCGGAAGTTCAGAGAACATTTTGAGAGTAGTACGGAGCTCATCTAATGCTACGGGCGTGAAGAAGAAACTCTGTAAATTGTCATTTGCTTTATGGAGATATGAAAGTGAATCATGGGAAGGAGTTATGGTGTTCACTAAATTTTTAGCCACATTAACAAAGAAAGTGTTTAAATCTTCAGGTGAATTAAAGACTGTGCCAGACGAAGAAGTCTTATTCCTTAAGTCACTTACAATAGCCCAAGGCTCTTTAGCAACATTACCGGATTTGGCTAGCCTCCCATTATAATAAATGTCCTTGGCAGCTTTTATATTCTTACGATAAACCCTTCTATAAAGTTTCACGTAATTATGAAAGAAAACGCTGTCTGTGATTTTTTTAAGGTGAGATAATGAGCGCATGTTCTTTGCAGATATATGCAAGCCTGTCGTAGACGAGGATATACCTTGCTTACTTTTGATAGGCCTTAGAGGAAACGCCTTGCACGCCAGATTAGACAAGGTATTTATAAATCTAGAAAATTCGGAATCGATGTCAGTCGAGAGGACCACCCACTCAGTTGTTAGACATAGGTGGTGAAAATTTAGAAAATTTTTATCCGAAAAAATACGGCCCAATTTGCGCGAGGTATTTTTGCATTTGGATTGTGGCAAAAACGTTGTCAATACTGCCTCATGATCAGAGAAACCTGAGTGAAGGACTCTACAGTCAACGAATTTCGGGTCAAAAGACGACACGACATAATCTATAGTACTAGAGCCAGCTTTAGTTATTCTAGTTGGTGAGTCAACATGCATGAGTATACCAAAAGAATGAAAAATGAATTGAATTCTATTACGCCACCGCACACCGCGATCGACCCACACAGGCTAAAAAGCTATTACTTCCCCACTCCGGTTATCTCGACCGCCAGGCGTTATGCTTGCGACAGTTGCAACTGTTTTAAAAAAGCTGCTTATTTTATATACTGTTATTTTTAAGCTGTTGCAAGCCCATCGGCCGATGCAGCAACGTCGCCCGTGGAGCGTTCTCCACTCCGTCGGCGCGCCGCCCGTTATCGATGGTTGTCGAAATAACAGTTGTTTCTCATACTAGTTGTTTTTTGGAATTGCTTCGAGCCGCATAGGATTTCGTGGCGATGCAGAGCGCCGACTTCGTTTGACGAACGGTCGATCTCTACGTGTCGTTATTTTATATCTGTATTTATTTTATTATCTATATTTTTTAAAAGTAGTAACGGTTGCGTTATGTTATTTTCAAATAACTGTTGTAAAATATCAGATAGTTAAATAACAACCCATCTCTACTGCAGGGTCTGACAAATTAGAAGGGATACAAAGATTATAAAATTAGAGAACAGTTGCGCCTTGCTGAAGTCTACAGCTTCATATTTCGGAAAAGCCGATGATTTCCAATTTAGATTTTATTTAAAAAACATCTTCATAATAAGGCAACATAGATAGTAGATTAAATTTACAACAACAAAAACCCAAATTAGATCCGGCGGTTCTCAAAATATAAACGAACATTTTTTTTTTGGAAAATTTCAAAAATATCTCGGTTGTTTTGGACTTATTTGAAAAATGGTAAAGAGAAAATATGTTTCTTTTATCGACATCTACAAGCCCTGAAAATATTTGCACTCACCCTGTATAGAACAGACATACGAAATTAATATTTAAGTGTGTTAGAACGAGACTACTTTCTAATTTATTATTTTAGGACGGGATAGCTCAACATCTACTCTAGACGCACTTATATTGTCTGGTTATATTCAGACTATTCTACTGACAAATGGTGCTGGATTATTCAACTAATTTATTACCTACCTCATACGTTCATTTATTATATGATTCGAATCGATATTTTTTTTCGTATGCGAAATGACTTTGCCAGATATTTATTCAAGATAAATATTTTTAATTTTATATAATAATACATATAAGTGTAACAATCCCTTATTCATTAATGTCAATCGATTGTTCCGCTTTCCCACAATAAAGATAAATCTAGCTGTCGAGATACTTCACCGTTTCCGGAACAGTACTTTCTATATTGCGCCCTACATCAGCTGTGTACCCTTTTCTCTTTAAGCCTTTGAGAGAGGCATTTTATCTAGAGCGGTCTTGTGACAGCCACCTCGTAAAATGGTCTAATTTTGTTTGAGGGGTTCCCTTCGGATTCGCCCGGCTATGGTTTATCGATTTAGAGGCTTATGTTTCAAGATTTCAAGTTGTAGATAAAGGTCAAACGATTGGCCTGGCTGAACTTTTACGAGTTTTGTCTTTTATAATTTGCATATACTTAGAAGTAGCAAAAAAAACAGTAGATAACTTTTAAACGCTATTATTTTTCAAAGTATTCTCCACAAAGAGAAATGCATTTTTGCATTTGTTGGAACCAATTCTGAAAGCAGTGATTCCACTCGCCTTCAATTCAAACTTGCGTTTTTGAAGGCGCGGACTGGCATTTCTGGGGACTGGAAACTTTGATCACGCAGTTCGTTCTTCATTTTTAGATGAGAAAAGCAAAAAAAGTCGTTAGGACTTAGGTCGGGACTGTATGGAGGTTGGTCCAACAATTCGATGTTTTCTTGTGGTCCAACCATTCGATGTTTTCTTGTTTTAAAAACTCAATTGTTTTTCGAGCTGTTTGGGAACTTGCATTGTCTTAGTGGAGGATCATTCGTTGTTGAGGGTAGGTTTTTCGAAACTCAGCAATTACTGCAGTAACAGTTGTTTGAATTGTTGCTACATGATCCGCTTTTAACTTTGGCATTAATTTAACTAAATGAAGCAGTTAATTTGCCTTAAAACGATTTATTTTAGGTATAGGAACATGTATAGCTAAAAAGTAACGAATTGAAAAACCTTTTTATTAGTGAAATAAATAAAGTGGGTCAAATTTGAAAAAAATGATTTAAGATAATTTTTAACAGCTAGCGCCATTATTATATGACATTTGAACAATTTAATTTTTGAAATAGATAGCCACATGTCTTCTCTTTATGTCACAGTGGCTGTGGTAATCACTAAATTTGACTTTTAGGCTATATAAATTTTTTTGACAGGTATTTTTTTTCGTCCAAAAATTTTAAATATTTTTTTTCTCAAAAACGGTTAATGTTAGGTATATAGTGTTTTATATCAATATTCATAGAATTTTACAGCTAATTTAAGTATGTAATAAAAAATAGGGGTACCCATTTAAAATAAGAAAGTTGCTGTCAACTTCAAGTATTTTCGGAAGTGCCACCATATTGAAAATATTTTTAATCGATAGATCTCGTTATGAAACTATGATGTGCAAAAAATCTCCAATCTAGATATTGTGGTTCTCTAGAAACTTCTAATGCACGCTCAGCCTGGGACACCCTGTATGTTGACAGGCAAACTATAAAAGACAACACTCGTATTAGTACCGCGATTTAATGATCATTATTATTGCAGACCGATGAATAGATGAAAGCACAAATCAATAAAGGCATCAATTAATTGAAAGCCCAGTGTGGGGCCATCAACATGATAAGCCCCATTTTACTAACTTTACAGGAAAGCACTGGATGGCTGGTGGTTATCAGGTTCTTTCCATGTATTCTAGAATTTTACTAGGCATATACCATAGGATTTAACAATTTATTACCCTGCAAAGTTTATACATTTTGTAGGGACCAGTTAGACCTAATCTAAATCCTAAAATTAAGAAATTGGCGCTTATTAACCTCGACCCTTCAATTCATATATTTCTAGTAATTCTAATATTAGTGTATAATAGTTATGAAGAGTATCTAGAAGATGTAGTAATTAAGAGTTCTTTTTGAATAAAATATGCACAGATATATCGGTAACAATGACGCCACATCCCGAAATGTCAGTTCTATAAAATAATATGACAATATTAATTTACATATTTTTCATTATTTTACAGGAAAGTCTATATGGCAATTAGTTTTAGAACAGTTTGATGATCTACTAGTCAAGATTTTATTATTAGCTGCTATTATTTCTTTTGTAAGTATTTTTGTTATTATGTTTGTTAATTTTATGTGTTAATCCAGGCCAAATTGCTTTGGACCTTGACACTGATTTGTTTTTTTGGCAACACCTTGGACTTATATTGCCAATTAATTAATTATTAAAAAAATATTTTAATGTAACATGTATTTATCAATCTATTTTTTACTATAGTTCTTGATAATTAGATATTTCCAGATGATTTGTTATGATTAGGGATTTTAATATTTTTCTTATTATTGATATCAGTTATTAATCTAATTTTTTATCCTAAATGTACTTTTGGAGAATGACATTATTTTGTCTGTCTAGTTATTGCAATCATTTCTAGAACAACGCACTTTCACAATATACGTTAGTGTTAAATTTATAATCTTATCATTTTTGATTAAATTATTAATAATTTTATAGCTGATTACTCTTAAGGGGCTATTTTTAGACTGATCCACTGTAAAAGAATAATAAAATTAAGCTAAGACAAAATGTAATCATATATATATTTCATTAAAATCTTGTAATTTTGCCATGCTGATATCAAAAGGTGTGTGTTGAAACCCAGTTTGAACTTACTGCTAAAGTCTAGTATAATTAAAGTAGAATCCCATTTGATCTATACACATTTTAAGGGATGCTTTCTGAAATTACTGGGACTAACATTGTAAGCCTCACTTGAAGGTAAACTAAGCTTTTAGAATTTTGGTTACTGTGTCTAAATACGGACAAAATAATTAATTTTGAATTGGAATAAAAGCTCAGATTAATAATAAATATTTCAGTTTGTTATATTAAACACTAATGCCCAATAATAGTCTCCCAATATAGTAGATTCATTATTATTTTGAGTCATAATTAAAGTATTATCGGATTTTGACCTGCTTAGGAATATTACATTTTTTGCGTATAAGAGTGCTTATTTTTATACTTCATTAAACGCTTAATTCATAAATCGTTCGTTTATTTGGATTATTAAACACCTGGATTTTGCAACGTATTTTGTTCTAGTGGGCCGATTTTGATGATTTTTTAAGCAATCTGTAGCTAAATTATTTGACTTTTTGGTATCTCTTTCTAGATTTCCTGTCTGTCAATTATAAGTCATATATTGTCATTATATTGTCAATATATTTTCTAGAAGTTCCCGTCTGTCAATTATAGGAGGGATAACAAAATGTTGATATTTTGTTGAAAGTTTGAAACACTCTCTGGAATATGTTAACAAAGTAAGTCAATGAAAAATAATTTTATCATCCAGGTACATCTTTTCTCGATAGTTTGTTTTGTGATTCATCTCAATCGATTTATTTTTGTTGAAGATATTCGCTTGTAGAGAAGACACTAACATTTTTTTCGTAATTTTTACATTAAAACCATGCTATTTGGGTCCCAGTCGACAGACCTGGGACCCAAAGCAAAGGCAACAGAAATAGGTCTGTTGATTGGCACTTTGAGCAGTTACTCTATGTAGTAGAGATAGTTTTAAGTCCAGAAGTTGCATTCGCTATAGTTTTTTTTTGTGGTGGAAAAAATATGCAGCTGTTGATGTACCTTACGGACTAAAAAAACCTCCACAAACCGCTTTGAGTATCTCCACAAGGAACTACCTTTCGGCATTACTTCTGGGGGACTGATTCGCTATAGTTCCTTTAACTGAACCTGATAGATATCAAAATTATGTCGCTAACAGATTTAGGTGTACACGAAGTACAGTGCAGTCGCTTCCTCAAGACAAGTTCATATGCTATACGTCCAGGAACCTTCGTATGAGGAGACGATCGACTTATTGTAAGTTTATCGCTTAGAAACCGCCTTTTGCCAGCTTTTCACATTTATAATGAATTGCTCTTGTCTTTATTTATTCCTTTGTCTTTGGACTTACCTTGTCTTTATTTATTTTGCTTACACAACCTTTCGGTCAGAAGTATCACTGACCGTTATCGAGTGTCAACTCAGAGTTCTTAGAGTTTTCAGTGTTTTCAGAGTTCACACTTGATGACTTGATAAAGGTCAGTGAATTACATTCTTTTAGTTTATTACTAGGACCAGAAGCAAAGGCCTAGTTAGTTTTAGTTAGTGTTTTCTTCGAAAGCGAATCTCCAAAAAAATAAAGCTATTGAGAACCAAAAACAAACTATCAAGAAAGATATACCTGGATGATAAAATTATTTTTAAATTTTTTGTTGTCTAACCATATTCCACAGACAGGGTGTTTCAAACTTTCACCAAAATATCAACTCTTTGTTTATCCTCGTGTAATTGACAGATGGGAATTTTAATTTTTAATTTGGAAAGAGATACTAAAAAGTCAAATAATTTAGCTACATATTGCTTAAAAAATCATCAAAATCGGCCCACTAGAACAAACTATATTAAACTTTAAGATAAATGAAAATTTTAACGTGCCCGTCTTTCGTGCCGGTGAGTGTGTATTGCCGTGGGTATTTTGAGAATAACTTGCAATTGCCAACAGCATTCATTTTTCTGTTTAAATTATTCGTCAGTTTACATCGTTTTATAAAAAGATGTACCCGACTGAATTAGTGTAAAAACCCTGATTTACATGCGGAAAACACTGCTTGCTATTTTGCCGTCGTCATACGCTAATATAATTTATTTTACTTTCCCGTTTTACTATATACAAAGCGTTAAAAAATATACAGGTCGTCCAGTTCTAAATATTTGTGACTTATAACAGGAGAAGAATGCTAAAGTATTGCAGGGAGTTCTGCGTTATATTAGCTTCGTTCCAACACACACAAATTTGTACAATTTTAGAACGGTAATTGGGATTGCCGGGATCAGATTTGTACGCATGTGTCGACTTGGACAGCAAAATAAAATTACACTAAATCACCACAATACACCAAAACACTTTTACTTTTACACTGGACGCGCGTTTCGCTAACCATGTTAGCATCATTAGCAGATGATTATAAACTAAAGTACAATCTACAAGTTGAGCAGTTGAGCGTTTATATACTCGCCCAGTAGGTACCGAGTGGGCGTGGCAAAATCTAGCCAACCGAGTCAGAGCCCACTGAGCGTAACAGTTAATTTCCGCCACTAGAGTAGTAGGAACAAAGAACTTGAAGGAATTGGACCGTTGACTCTGTTCATACTATCTTTACATTTATTAACTCTGATGCTTTCATATGCATCCTTTTCACATACGAAATTTCGCTCGAGTAATCCCATCACTAATATACACAGACTCTATATCACTGTCCTCTTTGACACCCAGTGATGCCAACTCGTAGGAAGTTTCCCGATTCGTGAGAAATTTCGAGGTCCAGAGGGAAAAGGGAAATTTTAATCCAAAATGCCCTATTTGTGGGAAATTCTAGATTCATGTATTATTCGTAAAAAAAATAGTTTCGCAGCAAAGTGAGTAAATTCAATATTATTACATATACATTTTCGGTTGGCATCAGACATTATTCTTATACCCCCTCTTTCGAATACATGGTAAATTTTAAATGCCTATGATTATTTTTTTGTAAAAAAAAATTGAAAAGTATATTTCGAAATTTATTTCAAAATTTGTTAAATTTTCAGTTAAAAAAATAATAGCAAAATAAAAGTTTCTTTTAATTCACCACATTCACCAACTTTTAATTCACCACATTACAACAAAAAACTTTACTAACTTTAATCATCCGCTGATGAGGCTAACACGGTTAACGAAAAGTTACGCACGTCCAGTGCAAGAAAGTAAAGTGTTTTAGTGTATTGTGGTGAATTAGTGTTTTAAATTTGCCGTTGTAACAACAAAGATTAGTTAACCTAAGGTTAGTTACCTAACCGTAAAAAACATAATATATGTATTGTGTTGACGGCACTATATGGAATTTGAGAACTCGTGGGAACTTTTAGAAAAAACGGGAAATTTTGACCGTCTTCGTGGGAAATTTTATTTCAGTAAGTTGGCAACACTGTTGTGTCACTCATCATATTTAATACAAAAATATAGAAATATTTATTTAAAATATGCATACAAAGGATAAATACCAAATAAAACTTGATATATCAGCAAATTAAACATAGAAATAGCCAAAAATAATTTAAAAAATCAGCTGACACCAATACTTAATACGCAGGTCAGTTCTTTTGATTCTTTTTTTTTGGCTAGTATCGAAATTACCGTTCCACAATCAGTTTACTTAACGATTAGCGTTCCACCTCTAGGTGGAACGCAAAAGTTATCATTCGCTAAACGATTCCCACTGCGCAGAAGTGTTACCATACACGATATTGATTTTCTGCTGTGTTGGAACGAACCTATATATAAACCAAGCAAAAGTATTATTGGCAAAAAACAAATTTTAACACTTATTAAATTTCAAACTAATTCTGTGTTTTGTTTAGAAAATAATGTAACTGTTGCATCTCTTTTATCAGAGGGGATAAATTTGACACAGCGTCGGAGCATGAATCCAGTCGTTGCCGAGTTCTTGCTACGTTTGTCTGAAATAAACACGCCGCATGTGTATATGCATTACTTAATATAAACATTGTTTGCACTGTGTTTATTATTTAACAATATTTTGTCATTCAGATGTTTGCAGAGTTTCGTGGATCACTAGCATACATAGCGACGATACGGTCCTAGCGATACATTCGCCATTCTTTCTATGTATTAATTTATATCAGTTATAGAGAACTTTATTGGCAAATTTTTAAATATAGGATGTATTAGGAGCGATTTTTTTTATAAATTGTAGTGAAAATTCAAAACAATTTTTTTAAGTTAGAGTTATTTTTCAGAAATCTAGCCGGAAAATTATATTTATGTAGTATACTAATATTTAAATATTTTACCTATACATATATCTCCGAATTGTCTTTACAAGAGGAAAAACTTTTTTATTGTGATTTTGAGAAAAATGCATTCTTCATAAAATATTTGTTTGTTCTAAAATATTTAATCCCGTTTATACTTTTTGAAATTTTTACCGTTGTAGAGAAAATTAAAAAAAAAATATGAAGAAAGCATTTTTCTCAAAATGTCAATAATAAAAAAGTTTTTCCTCTTGTAAAGACAATCCGGGTACATACTGTATATTTTTGTAATTCTTTTATATTGTATTAAATCATCAATATTAAAATACTGGACTAAAGAACTATTGTTTGTGGTTTGAAAATAATTCTCATTAACTAATCTATTTAAAATATTATTTTTTGAATACATACAGGGTCCGGCAATAGTGCGTCGGGCATCTGTAGCCCCCAGAATAAAAAACTTGACAATTTTGTTTAAGTGCAAATCTAAAGTATGTACCAGGATGTATTTCAGGAAAATATTTTAACTTCTCTATAGGGTGGCTCAGTGTGAGTGGACCTGGATGATTTTTTAAATGGAACACCCTGTATATTATTGCATTTTGGCTTCCTTCAGATCACTTTATATAACCTAAGATATGAATAAATACATTTCGATAGGTTCAGAGATATTAAATATTAAATCAAAATATATATTTTCAGCCCTTCTTATAAAAAAAAATATTAGAAATACAAGAACTGTCTGAAATCAAAACTATACTAAGTATTTACTTTAGATGGTCTGTAATTACTTTTGCTATAAATATGAAAATCTTAAATTATACAGGATGTTCAAAATTCTACGCCAAACTTTCTAAAATATAAAATAAATTTTCTTCGTTTTTTAATGAACACCCTGTATATTATTTTTTCAATAGATGGAGAATAAAAATGAACATTCTTTGTATTTAGAGTATTTCAAAATTTTTAACGGTTTCGCAGATATTTGCGGTTTTATATTTCATATGGCATTTTCCACAGTAAATTGTTATCAAAGCCACCCAATGATTTTTCTCTCGTATTTTACCATTGAAAGCGCCATATGAAATAATACTGCGTGTATCTGCGAAACCGTTAAAAATTTTGAAATACTCTAAATACAAAAAATGTTCATCTTTAAACTCTCCATTTAATAAAAAAATAATATACAGGGTGTTCCATTTAAAAAAACAAAGAAAAATTATTTTATATTTTAGAAAGTTTGGCGTTGAATATTGAACATCCTGTATGATTTACGATTACCATATTTATAGCAAAGTAAGAACAGACCGTCTATACTAAATACCTCATATAGTTTTGATTTCCAGAACAGTTCTTGTATTTTTTAATAATTTTTAAGAAGGGCTGAAAAATATATTTTACAGATTTATTTTTTAATATCTCTGAAACTATCGAAATATATTTATTCATATCTTAGGGTTATGTAAAGTGATCTGAACGGAAGCCAAAATGCAATAATACAGGGTGTTTCATTTAAAAAAAATCATCCAGGTACACTCACAGTTTTTTGAGCCACCCTATAGAAGTTAAAATATTTTCCTGAAATACATCCTGGTACATACTTTAGGTTTGCACTTAAACAAAATTCTCAAGTTTTTTATTCTAGGAGCTGCAGATGCCCGACGCACTATTGCCGGACCCTGTATATGATTTACAAATAACTTGGTAAATCATATGCAATGCATTTTTTTTTATTTGTGCGACACTAAGGAGTAATTAGTTATAACTTTTATTTGTGCGACACTAAGGAGTAATTAGTTATAATATAATAATCCATACAATTTTCGGTTTGAAATTTAATAACCTTGACAGAACCTCGGTAAATCTTTTATTCTGACAATTTAATTGAGACATTGTAATTCCTAATCAAGTATTAAACATGTAATTATTGTATTTATACCATTCTTAATGTAATTATAACTTAACAGGAACGTTTTAAAAGTGTTATTTATTTTTTTCTTATTTTGAGTCTGAAAAACTAGGCGTCTTTTAATTATTTTTGAACATTTCCTTCTTGATTTTAGTAGTATATAATGTTAAGCTTAGAGTAATTAGTCTAAGTTGTTATAACATTAGTAAAAGAAATAAGTAAGCGAAAAAGCAAAACCATTTTTATTTACTTTGTGTAAAAGCAATTGATTCTTTTTACCCGACTAGTTAGACAAAGATTATAAATAGATATTAATTATATTACATGTATGTTTCTGTTAGGTAGTTTATTAAATATTAAATTAAACTCCATGTATATCGTAAATTTCAAGAGATAATGTCATTTGAACACAAATTATGTTTAATCGCAGTGTTAATTGTAGTGTTAACGTGATATGCATGCAAGTCTGTTTCAATTCAAGAGTATATTCCTCGCTAAGCGTTTATTTCTACGTAATAGTGGTCAGTAATAATTATTTCATGACTATTTTTGAAAGGAAGCAATCAAATTAGACTCGGTTTGCTACTGTAGTAATGTTTACAATTGTCACGTTATGTTAAATAATAATATTTTTTGCATCATTTTAATTTTCTTCAGTATCGTTTTTAATTTTGGGTTTGTTTTTTAATTTTTGGATTGTTTTAAATTTTTACACTGCCAACTCATAATAAAACACGTATAAATATATAGACATGCATAATAATTTGAATTTGTTAAAAGTAAAGTAGCTATATTTAAAATAGAAATATTTCAATTTTAGATCGAGAGTTTGATTTCCAAGAAAGCAAAATTAAAAATGTAAATCAGTCTGTAACAAATTAAACTTTAGAGCTTTTTGAAACTTTCATAATTCTTCATAATTGAAAATAATTTGGCAGTAGTACAATTTCTGTTTGTGCAGTTGTATGCGATGTAATATTAAAATACACTAAAGGTTTCAGTCAGTCCAATTGTTTTTTCGAAAATAATGTAAACACCTTTGTGAAGGAGAACATTTAACTGATGTCTATTTTCAGTTTAACTGGGCCTAAATCGATCTACTTCATAGAACATTTATTAACCCTTGATATAAATAAATAAAAAAATTGATTCTTATTAAATTAATTAATACTATCATTGTGGTGCCCGGTGGCCTAGAGGTACAGGCTCTCGTCTACCAATCTCAAGGTGTGGGTTCGATTCCCACACCCGGCATTTCATCAGCCGACTCTTTTTATTAAAATAAAAATAGTTTGGGTACCTAGGTCGACTCAGCCTTAAATGGGTACTTGGGATTCACAATCCTGAGGTAATAATAGGCGGTTGAAGCGTAGTGCTAGCCACATTACCTTCCTTGTATACCGAACGGCTCTAGTATAGCAAGCTGTACCTTGCTACTCCCAAGGCGTTAAACGCTATATACGGGAGCTATTATTATTATATTATTAAATTAATTAATATAATCTTTAAATAAAATTTTTCTTCAAACATTTATTCAACAGTAGCACTGGTTAGCGGATTTAACTAGACTTAAAATTGTCGCATATTTTTAACCTCATATTAAATGCCGAGGCATCCTTTTACATACATGGTTCATGTGTATGGCGGAACACATATGGCGTCACTAATAGGCTGGGGTAATATAAAGAGCTTTATTGACTGTACGGTTTTTCTGGTATCTGCATCGACATAGAGGATTAAAGTTCTTTGATGTGGTTTGAGTTGCAGCTTTTAGTATTAATCATAAAACGAAAATATTTAAATTTTATATTTAAGATTTTTTTTAACTTATATAAGTTTTTAATTTTGTTTTTTTCTCTTTGTTTTAGGTATTAGCCTTATTTGAAGAACACGATGGAGCTTTCACAGCTTTTGTAGAACCTTTTGTAATTCTTCTTATTCTTATAGCAAACGCAGTTGTAGGTGTTTGGCAAGTAAGTTTGTCCCGTTAAGCGATGAAAACATTGTATTGATTCCGGTTTTTTTATGTTTATAGGAACGAAATGCCGAATCTGCCATTGAAGCTCTTAAAGAATATGAACCTGAAATGGGTAAAGTTATCAGAGGAGACAAACCTGGTGTTCAAAAAATTAGGGCGAAAGAAATTGTACCAGGTGATATTGTTGAAGTATCTGTCGGTGACAAAATCCCCGCTGATATTCGTATCATTAAGATCTTTTCAACCACCTTGAGAATCGATCAATCAATTTTGACTGGTGAATCTGTTTCTGTCATCAAACACACCGACCCCGTACCTGACCCCCGTGCTGTCAATCAAGACAAAAAAAATATTCTTTTCTCTGGTACCAACGTAGCTGCTGGTAAAGCTCGTGGAATCGTAATCGGAACTGGTTTGGCCACTGCTATTGGTAAAATCAGAACTGAAATGTCAGAAACTGAAGAAATTAAGACTCCTCTTCAACAAAAATTGGACGAATTCGGTGAACAATTGTCTAAGGTCATCTCTGTCATCTGTGTAGCTGTCTGGGCTATCAATATTGGTCACTTCAACGACCCCGCTCATGGCGGTTCCTGGATTAAGGGTGCCGTTTACTATTTTAAGATTGCCGTCGCTTTGGCCGTAGCTGCCATTCCTGAAGGTTTACCTGCCGTCATTACGACTTGTTTAGCTTTAGGTACTCGTCGTATGGCTAAGAAAAATGCCATTGTAAGATCTCTACCTTCAGTAGAAACTTTAGGTTGTACTTCAGTAATTTGCTCTGACAAGACTGGAACATTAACTACAAATCAAATGTCCGTTTCGCGCATGTTCATATTCGATAAAATTGAAGGTAACGACAGCAGCATTCATGAATTCGAAATTACTGGTTCTACGTATGAACCTATTGGTGAAGTATTCCTCCGAGGAGGCAAAGTTAAATGCTCAGAATTTGACACTTTGCAAGAAATTGGTACTATTTGCATCATGTGCAATGATTCTGCTATAGATTTCAACGAATTTAAACAATGCTTTGAAAAAGTCGGTGAAGCAACTGAGACTGCTTTAATCGTATTGGCCGAAAAAATGAACCCTTTCAATGTTTCTAAGAGCGGAGACAGGCGCCAAGCTGCTATTTGCGTGAGACAAGACATTGAATCCAAATGGAAGAAAGAATTTACTTTAGAATTCTCCCGTGATCGTAAATCTATGTCTTCTTATTGTGTACCTCTGAAACCCTCTCGTATTGGTAACGGACCCAAATTATTTGTTAAAGGTGCCCCTGAAGGTGTTTTGGATAGGTGTACACACGTACGTGTTGGTCAACAGAAAGTTCCTCTGACTAGCAGCATTAAAAACCGTATTCTTGAGGTTACCAAAGCTTACGGCTGTGGACGTGATACTCTTAGATGTTTGGCTTTAGCTACTGCTGATTCCCCAATAAAACCAGAGGAGATGGATCTTGGAGACTCAACTAAATTTTACACATATGAAGTAAATCTTACTTTTGTTGGCGTTGTTGGTATGTTAGATCCCCCACGTAAAGAAGTTACTGACGCTATTGTAAGATGCCGTGCTGCCGGTATCCGTGTTATTGTCATTACTGGTGATAACAAAGCTACTGCTGAAGCCATTTGCAGGCGTATTGGAGTCTTTGGCGAAGATGAAGACACCACAGGAAAATCATACTCAGGTCGCGAATTTGATGACTTATCTCCTGCAGAACAGAAAGCTGCTTGCGCACGATCTCGTCTCTTCTCCCGTGTAGAACCTGCTCATAAATCCAAGATTGTTGAATACCTTCAAAGTATGAATGAAATTTCTGCTATGGTAAGTGTCATAACAATAATTGTGATTTCTCGTTTATATTGATTTTACAATTACAGACTGGTGATGGTGTAAATGATGCCCCTGCCTTGAAAAAAGCTGAAATTGGTATTGCGATGGGTTCTGGTACAGCCGTGGCTAAATCGGCGGCCGAGATGGTACTTGCCGATGATAACTTCTCAAGTATTGTTGCCGCCGTTGAAGAAGGTCGTGCCATCTACAACAACATGAAACAGTTTATCCGTTATTTGATTTCCTCCAACATCGGCGAGGTAGTATCAATTTTCTTGACTGCCGCTCTTGGTCTTCCAGAAGCTTTGATTCCTGTTCAACTTTTGTGGGTCAACTTGGTAACTGACGGTCTCCCCGCCACCGCCCTCGGTTTCAACCCTCCAGATTTGGATATTATGGATAAACCACCCCGTAAAGCTGATGAATCTCTTATTTCTGGATGGTTGTTCTTCAGGTACTTGGCTATTGGTGGATACGTAGGTGCTGCCACTGTTGGTGCTGCCGCCTGGTGGTTTATGAGTTCAGCCGAGGGACCTCAAATGAGTTACTATCAATTGGTAGGGAATTATTTTTTAATGTAATTTTGGAGAATATAATACGAATTTGTGTTATTAGACTCATCACTTGCAATGCTCTGTGGCTTCTGGTGAATTTAAGGGAATCGACTGTAAAGTATTCAATGATCCTCATCCAATGACTATGGCTTTGTCTGTATTGGTTACAATTGAAATGTTAAACGCCATGAACAGGTAATAATGTAACATAAATTAAGTTTTTTTAAAACTTTACATCTTTGTTTAAGTCTATAATTTTATTTTATTTATTATAGCTTGTCAGAAAACCAGTCTCTCGTTGCTATGCCCCCATGGTCTAACTTGTGGTTGATTGGTTCTATGGCTCTTTCCTTCACACTTCATTTTGTTATTCTTTACATTGATGTACTGTCAGTAAGTGTTTTTTAATAATATATTTTAGTTTAATCATTTTGATAAAATGTAACTGTAAGCTTCATAGACTTGTATAAGACATATACCCACGTGCATTGATTTGTTTTTACACAACATATACAAGCAAAATGTGAACAAATTGCTCATTTATTTACAGTTTTAAACAGAAACAAATAAACACTGTAAATCAATAGATAAAAAATTATGCCTTTCTAAAAAAAATTGGCGAAAGCATCTTTATAATTTAATGAAATACTATATTATAATATAATCATAGTATCCGATCTTCCTCAATAAACTTTTTTAATAAATAAGTGGCAACCTAGCATTTTTTTGTTTACATTTGGTTTGTATATCTTTGGTACCTTCATTTTGATCTGTAAGGTTTATCTATCGATATAATTTAACCGAGCTATTTTCCAGGTTGTATTCCAAGTGTGTCCACTGACTTTCGAAGAGTGGATAACAGTAATGAAATTCTCTATTCCAGTAGTATTACTTGATGAAAGTTTGAAATTCGTAGCAAGAAAGATCACTGACGGTGAGAATCCGATTTATACTGTTCATTGGATTGTACTAATGTGGGCTGTGTTTTTTGGCTTAATATTATGGTCTCCTATCTAAATTCCTGTTAGATAGACTGCCTCCGTTTGACGAGGACAGCAGATTAGTGTGTAAACGGGTGCCTATATTATCAGTGTCAAAGAGTTTATAAAAAACGGACCAATTGACTTTTTAAGTGCCTTTTTTTAAAACATTTTTAATAGCGCTGGTTTATTTGTAATCCAGATTTTTTTGTATATTTAAGTTAAACTATTTTTGTTTCGTAGTTTATTGGGTTGGGTTAGAAACATCTGTGAATTAATTAAATTCTTATTTTTTTGCATTACTGCGAACTATAAATGCGATAAAATAATTGTATTTTGACATATAGATTTTTTTTGAAATACTGTTAAGGCATCAAAATCAAATATCTGCTTAGAGATTATTATATACCCGTATTACACCCTAAGATTAATATTTCCAAATGTACCTATATGTTTGTTTTAACTACCCCTTATTTACCATGAAAAATTATTTACTATTGTAATTTATTAAATATATCTACTAGTACTTAGCTAGAAGTCGAGACAAGAGAATAATAATTTTTCATTGTATAAAGTAAAATGGAGACAGAAGCATATTCAACGTCCAGGCAAGTCGAGCGTGAGTGTGTTATTATTTCTCAGGTGTTGTGATGTTTTTGCAAAATCTTAAGCAGATGAGCAAGTGCATGTTTTAACGTTTCTAAAATAAACAATAAAAAAATAAAGACTGAGTTAATTATTTTTTATGCAACGATTATTTAACAAGTCTACAGTTGGCATTGTATACATTTTTTTTTTCTGCACTCCACTGAAATTTCGTCCATACATCCAACTATACACATATAGTAAATGTTTAAAAGAAACATATTATATATACAGTTTGTTATAAAGTATAGAAAAATAAAGTATACGGTTTGCAGTACACGGTGGATAGTTATTCATATTTATATGTTGATCAAAAGTCTATTTTAAAAAATAAATATATTGCGTGTTTTCGATTTATGTAAACAATATTTTTTGCGTAATAATTAAAATCTAATCTTAATATATGAGCATCATTGAGTCAAATACAGTGTCCTGTAACAGTTTGTTGGATATCACTGGGTGCTATAACAAATCATAGAAATTTCGTTTAATTGCAGAGCTACATTGTAGGACATATTTCAGGAAAATATTACAGGGTGTTTCAAACAAGTTTGGGTGGATGAGGGTAATATTTTATAAACGGAATATTGGTATATTATATTTTTTTCTTGATCACTTTACATAATGCTAGGTTATTATTCCATTTATTTTTCAGTTCCAGAGAAAATAAATGATAAAATAAATGTGTTGCAGCATTTTTTTAAAAAAATATATTAAATCTAGAACTACTCCAAAAACCAAATTATTTCATCAACGAAATTATATAATGTGTTTACTAAGATTGATTCATACTTTATTATAAACTAGTTGAAGCCTGGCGCATCCGCCACGACATCAGAAAAAAAAACTTTTTATTTATTTTTTTAATTAAATAAAAAAATCCGGCGACGACAGTTTCTAGAAGAGCCAATTAGCTAACTTTTAGCAAAAAAACAACTTTCTAGAGCTAGTCGTTACTTCAGTAGAGACGACATAGATAAACATTAGCATTTTACATATATATAGATATCGTAATAGTAAACTGTACAAGGTGCTCAAAATGTAATGTCAAAATTTTTATTTCTGTTACAGGACCGTTATAATTTTGAATAAGGTACTTATAATATTGAGAATGGGTTTTATTTTTTATATCTCATATTAGAGAGTAGTGTATTTTATAGTAATACATTTTTATGGTTTGTAGTATGCTGTATTGTCTTTCAATACGTTAAAACGGTTCCATCCGGTAAAAAATACTAAATTAAATAAAACACGATATAATATTCAAATTTAATAGAGAGAAATTTATAGTGTAATTAACTTATGTATATGACAATAAATCGAATAGCACCAGCATCACTGTTTATGACGAAAAATATAATTATTATGTTTAAGCTCATTATTTTTGATGATTAAAAAAACCAATAAGCTGTATATTTTCCTATTTTATTTTTAAATTATTTAAATTCTATTTATATCTCTAGTACTGCATAAATTAACAAATATTTATTTCTGTCTGTATATGTAAAATGTTTTTTTTTCAAAAATAGGTGGAATTTTTAATACATGCACATATTAGAAAATTAACCCAAAGAACTCTTTTTAGCTCGTCTATTAGACCTTAGCCGCGTTTTGACGTTTTTGATAACCCTATTTTAAAAATCATATACGTAGGTATATATTGTTAAAACAATTTTTGATGTCCTCTATGCAGTGACATTTGTTGTAAATAAAATTCGTGTAGATTTTAGAAAGTTTTAATCTAAAGTCTGTTCAACGAGACAGAGAAGATGCCTGAATTAAAATGACAGACAAAACTGTCACTGTCAGGGGGATTCTCCCGTTGGACAGACTTATACTCCTAACGAATTGACAGTACTTATAAAAACTGGTGAGCTAAAAAGGGCTACATCTAAAAATCTTGGAATTCTAATATTTACTTAAGACATATTTTAATTCTCGAATATGTCAGCGTTATTTCATGCAGTGAAGCATTTTCAAATAATTATTTTAATCAAATTGTGTGGAAGTTTTAATTGAGATTATAGGCAAGTTATATTTAGTATATTGTTTACACTTATCTAGTTCTGTTTTATCCAAAATATTTTTATTCTCGCCAGATTTATTTTATATACTCCTAAAATTTAATCAAGTGCTAAAATTTACTCTTAGATATACATAATTCCATGTTGATTGATAAAGAAGTTAACAGTTGGCGTTACAAAGTTTAACTACGCTTTAAACAACATTTATACAAACATTCCAATATTAAATCAAATAAAACTTCGCTGCATTTGTTAGGTTTTGTATTATAGTGTAAATTTATATAAATTCATTTTAATTTCTATGGTTTAGAAAAATGTTTGACAAATGGTTTTTTAAATAAAGTTTAGATTAGAAACTGAAATTAAAATACTATTTGTCTCCTTATCCTCCCCGTATAATTTATATTTTTTTGTAATCAGCAATTGTATATAATAATTGTAACGGGCAGTGTTAAATTCAAAATAAACTTTTTTGATGAACCTAATATGATTTTTGTGTGAATATATGTTACTAACATTTTAATTTAATATTTTAATTGATGAGATTTCCTATGCGAGTAACAAAACTGATAATGAAGTTGGATAATTTGAAAATATTCTGTCTTCATAATTTTTATTTTTGTACACTTAATAGAGTATAAAAACGGATTCTTTATGAATTAAAGTAAAAAATAAAATATCAGAATAGCAAGTGTATATATTTATGTTATACTTGAATTATGATATTCAATAAGTAAGAAATGACTATTTAATGGTGAATAAACAAACAGTGATGTGATTTAATGATTTGCTATAATGTAATCATACAGTATCTTGTGCAGTCTAATTCAGAAAATGTTGGGATTGCATTAGAATATTTTTATTTAGAAAAGTCATCCCAAACCAATATTTTAAAGTGTTAAATTGAAACAACTTTCTAACTTCTTGTCTTAACTTCTTGTCTGACCTGAGATAGCTCAATCACAGGGTGAAACAAAGATAGACAAATTATTTATCTTGAAACTTTCTCTTTTCTAAAATATTCTCAGTATAACCTGTAATATGGCGTCTATCACCGAATATGTTGTATGTATATTCTGCCATATTTTATTTGAGCTGAAGTAATACCGTTGATAATAAGAAAATGCGCAACCTTATGGGCGATTTCGTGGCTCAAAACCTGCCCGAGATGTAGCTGGCGATATCGTCGCCGCTAGTCAACCTCTCCGAGATTTAGTTTAGCTCTGCGCCGCTGCGCGCTGAGAGTCGTTTACAGCGCAGCGGAAAAAGAATACTGTACCGTAGTTCTGCGTAAAATCGACAGAGTGGATGGTTGCCGGAAATAGTGTTGCCAGAACTACGTATTAATCCGTAGAATTACGGATTTTTGGATTCAGTACGGATTTTCTATCATTCAACAATTTAATACAATATATGATTAAATAAGAACGGGGTCAGAGTTGGCTTGGAAATGAAGATCGCTATCTCATATGTAAAATATTATGGTAAATATTAATAATGGTCATTTCCAAGGCAACTAAATGACTTTTTTCGATCATACGATATATTCAGTAACTATAAAATAATTTTTATTTTTGTTGTTTTTTCTATGTTTAACACTAAAAGTAAATTTTCAAAAACGCGCGGATTTTTCATTCAGGGATATTTTCGTCAAACGTATTACAGATATTACACATTTTAATATGGCAACACTGTCGCTTTCACTTCTACAATGTCTTCGAGATGCCTTCGCTAGCCGAATTAGAAAAAAATAACTGTTTTATGCGTTGGTCGCAGAACGAATAGAGGCCCCACCGTACAGCACTTGAGACGTAAGGGTAAATCAAATCAGCCTTGTTACGAATTTGCCCATTAGGTTGCGTATCTTTCCAATTCTTTCAATCAACGGTAATACCAAACATGATGTCAAGTATCGATAGAAGATCGACTGTTAATAATTTTTACTATACATATAGAATATTTTAAAGCAAATATTTTATATTTTTGTTTTATGTTTCTATGTAAACGAAAAATCTGTTTGTAAATATATTTTATAAATAATTATTATTTTTGATTTTACGGGAAATCTCAAGTTTAGAATTAGGTATTAACAAACTAATATTACTGTTTGCTGTATTGGTCCCGACATGTAGACTTTCACAGGCAGCCCAAGGATGTCGTAAGTATGTACATATTGTATTTTTATTCCATTACAAAAAATGGCAAAAATGTACAGGTATATGTTACAATTTTGTTTTCAGTGAGATTTTTTCATGATGATTTTTTTTAATTTTACAGTACCACAGACGGTACACCGAATGTGATCGACTCGGCGATAGGACCGATTTGAGTCGTTGTGTGAAGTGATCCCCGGGATTGCAGCACCTTCCTTCTCCTCTATTAAACAGAGCTTTTCTCTTTGTTTTCTAACTAAAAAATCCCAACTATTCTGAATTAACCGCTTATTTTAAACTAATAACATTTGTACTAAAACACTTTTATTTTTCAGTTGGTGAGGTTGTAGTTGATAGATGGTAGAATTTCATTCATCAAGTATACCAGCTCTACGCTTTTTCACTTTATTCCCTTTAGGAGATCAGACGCTTTTATATCCTTTTTAACACTAGGAAATTTTAGTCGAATCACATTAATCACTTTTATCTCTGCGCGATTGCTTTTGCCAAGGTTCAGCGCGGAGCTGTGCTCTCTTCTTAACCTTCCGCAAGACATCTTACATTCTAGTGTTGATTCCTTAAGGATTTTTACCCTTTTTCAAGGACCTGTGATGGTGCGTTAGAATAACTAGCAACTGTACATATTAAGTTAAAAATATTTGTTATTGTTATTGTTTTAAATAAGAATTATTTATCAATCCGAGACTAGGGCAGATCGACGACTGTTAAGAGCAACAGAAGGGGAAGTAGCCCCTTCACGTTTTCTGATTGTTTTTACATTGCATCACTAGTTTTTATACCCCTCATTTGACGCATATATCGTTACTGGGCGACCCCTGAATAATATAAAAGACATTTTCAGTTAAAATAATACGTACATCTTTCTACAGGGGGCGACCCAAAAATCATCACGTTACTTTGTTTATTGCTGTAAAATATTTTCGAAAAATTAACTTCATTCAGTAACATGAAGACGTTAAAGTAGAATATTCACGCGCATAGCATTTCGGTATTAAACCACTCGTGGATTGCACTAGTCTCAGAAAGAACTATTGTTGCATTAGCAACGTCAACATCGATCGTATGTTACAAATTGTGAATTTCCATCAGTTTTGTAAACAGAATATATTTGTGTAAATAAAATTGACAGCTTTCTGGCTGTCTAAGTTACATTAGCAGTTTTATTTAAAAATATACCCCGTTTTTTAGCTTACCATATACAGGGTGCTACAAATTCGAGGTACGAGCATTGGCATCTCGGTAACCGTAATAGATACGAACATGGTTAAATTGTGGCAAACTTGCGCTTTGGGATGTTCACCAAGATGCCATCAAAAAAGTTTTAAAAATTTCGAGGATTACTGAGTTTTTTGGAAAAAAGGATTTTTTGGAAAATTAATTTTATCTTTTCCTGTCGATACTTTTAAGAAAATCAAAAAACTAATTGCATATATTCATTGCCACTTTATAAGGGCCATCTGATAATATTTTTAGATTTTCAAATTAGCTGATAATTTGTGAGATATAGAGACCAACTTATTTTTTTTAAATACGGACCTGCATTTTTATTTCAGATTTTGAAAGAACTCGGTTTCCTGAGTACAATGATATGCCACACTTAATATTTTTTTTATTTCGGACATTTGTATACAATTTATTTTAACTAATTTCAAATCCGGCTCTGTTTTTTTTAATATTTAATCTATTCATCGTTACAATATTGATAAGCTTTCAAATTTAACAATGATGTGGGGTAAAATATTGAATATGGAAAATATAATGCAATGAAATAATATACAAATGAATACATTACTTCACGTCATTTGTAAAAGTGAAATCAATACATCTCAACATTTACAATAAAGAGTACAAAATACTTTCGAAAGTACAAGAAGAAAGTTCAAAGAGCTATAAATAAAATTGAACGAAAAATAAATTTGTGCAATAGGGAGGGTGGTTTCGAACATATAGAGCATCAGAAACTAGTTTGTAGAAGTTGATTTATTTATAATAACTACTATGAATATTACGCATATTATTAGGTCACACACTGAGATTTTAAATTCAAAATAAAAAAGTTAAAAATAATATCTTTAAATTGCTGACCTGGATATAATTTATTTGAATCTGCCAATTGGCTCGATTTTCCTTATTCATTGTTAATTAGCGCCGATCAATATTGTTGCGATGAATATAATCAGATTAAATAATTAAAAACAAACAGAGTCGAACTTAAAATTATTTTATATAATAATTAAATACTTAGTTTTTTGTTGTTAAAATACCCAAAACAAAAAAAAGCATAAAGTGTGGCATATCATTGTACTCAGAAGACAGAGATCTTTCAAAACCGGAAATAAAAAATGCAGGTCCGTATTTAAAAAAAATAAGTTGGTCTCTGTATCTCACAAATTATCAGCTTATTTTAAAATATAAAAATACTATCAGATAGCTCTAATAAAGTGGCTATGGCAATATGCAATTAGTTTTTTGATTTAACGAATTAAAACTAACGACAGGAAAAAATAAAATTAATTTTCAAAAAAATCCGTTTTTTTCCAAAAAACTCAGCAATCCTTGAAATTTTTAAAACTCTTTTGATGGCATCTTGGTGAACATCCCAGAGCGCAACTTTGCCCCAATTTAACTACGTTCGTACCTATTACGGTTACCGAGATACCTATGCTCGTACCTCGAATTTGTAGCACCCTGTATGTTTTATTTACTTTATGTGTATTAAAATTTAAGTAGGATTTCTAATAACTTTAAATCTATTTAAAAGCAACTCCAACTTTGTATTTTCCGATTGTAATTCATTAATTTTTTCATAATTTTCCTGGATTTGTTTAGAAAGATCTTCTATGGGATTACCTTTAATTTTATATGGCTCTCTAGGTTTGCTCTGATTTTCTATTAAACTGTGATTTTTTTTTCTACAAATATCGTTAGTTTTTTTCTGGAAATGAAATGAACTATCAACTACTACTAATATTGCGAAATTGTAAACATTTATACTTACTGATGTAGTTTGGCATTTTGAAAATATTTCGTTGATTTCTTTCGCGCATTCGTGATTTGTTTTAATTTTGAGTTCACACTTTCCAATATTTTTGGTAAGTTTTGTTAGTGATATATTTAGGTTATTACAGGTATTTTCATTTTGTTTTAAATTGTATTCAATATCATTGAAGGCATCCTGACTAGAAGCAGAATTTTTAGTTGCATTTATAATATGTTGATCAACAAGTAATTTTAAAGCATGAGAGTATTTTTTTAAGACTATATTTTCTTTTTCTAGATCTTCCTTTTGTTTGTTGTATAAATTTAGGTGTTTTTGTAATTTACTCGTGACTATATTTAAATTCTCAATTTCACTCTTTTTAATATCGTTATTCTTTACTAACTCTTCATGTTGCTCTCTTAACGTATACAAATTATCCTTTTCTAGAAAGAAAAATAATAGTATAATAATTGTTTTTTTTTAGGACTAAAAGTGATGTTTTGTGGCGAGGCTGTACGTATGACATACAGGTGAGGCACAAAAAGTCATTTTTACTCTGAATAAGTCAGACGTCACGAAACAAACGTCAAATAATTCTTTTAAACAATTTCAAACTTTGCAAATAATATAAAAAGATTTAAAAGTAATACTTTGTAAGTAATCATATATTGAGAAACTATGGTTATACTCGTTGAATTTGACACTTATGTCAGTTTAATCATATAGGTATATATTCTCGTACTTTTGTGCTTACGCGTAAAAGTACTTCACTTTTATGCCTAGACGTTAAAATGACTTTTTTTATATTGCCAATATCGCAAAAATTAATACTTTTGTTACGTCCGAAAAAAAAATTAATTTTGACATTTATTTGTTGTTACCTGTATTATATTTTTCTCTTAATGTTTTAATTTCTTCCTGTAAAAAAGTTATTTTTCTATCTTTTTCGACTAACAATTTTTCAGCATTATCAAACTTGAGTTTCAACATATTATTTTCGGTTTTCTTATCATTCAGCCGATTTGACAACTCTTTGAAATATTCTTCTATAGTAGAAGTGGCTTTAATCATACTCCCAAATTGTGTTATATCATAGATTTTAAGTTTAAGTGGATTTCTAAAAAAATATATTACATTATACAGGGTGAGAGAGGGAGATGTCTACGCCAGACTTGTTTCACAGACTTTTCATAGACTTTATTTCTTTAGAATATAAATATGCACAGTCACCTGTATAGGTAATAACTGTGGTAATAAGCTATGAAATAAAACATATATTACAATAAACGTCTGTGGCATCGCCGACCTCAGCGGAGGAAATCTTGTGTAAATTTTAAAAATGATAACAGGTTTTCCCCATTTTTTTCCACAGATAAATTTTCTTTTGAATCAGTGTTTCTACTCATCTAATACGAAATATATTTAATTTTTTAAAGATTCAATTATAGTCTACAGCATACAGTGCACTTCTGGTAATTCTTCAGAAGAAAATCGTAATAGATTTTGTTATATTGTGACATAACTTGTGATTATGGTTGTTTTACTAGGACCGGATTATTTGACATTTTTGCCTAATTTAGTATTTTTGTATTTCTCATAAAAACGATTCGTATAAATTATTTAAAATGAACAATTTGCTCCATTTTACTGAGTTCTTTAGTAAAATTCGTGAACAAATTTTCCTAAAACAATATTTTTTGTTGTCAGAGCCATATGTCTCCTGAGCATTTTGTTTTTTGGATCATGTGAATACATACCTTGGTTAATTTTTAAGAGCGAAATGTCCAAAAGACCAAAATCCCACCAACAATTTCCAATTTTTAGCCGACCATACCAACAGGTATGGTAGGCTATTAACATCGGCAAAAAAAAAGTTTTTTTAATTTCACTCAAAATGAGTTATCTGGGTCATAAATGACCTTGAACCAATTTTTTCAATTATCATTTCTGTGCTACTATGAATTGCCCATCATGTTCGACGTTTGGGAAATGCTCGGTAGGAGGGATAGAGGTCGCGAGGTACCAGCTTCATTAAAGGAACTTCGCTTGGTCATGGCTTGGCCCTTAAAGAAGAATGGGAAAACATAACGCAATATGATATATGCTATAGGTATATGCATCCTCAATGACAGTATGAACGGACGTACACAGGCAGTTATAGCAGCCAAGCGAGGTAATACAAAGTATTAGGATATACCTTTGGATATACTATTTTTTACATTGTTTTCCTATTTGTATACTTGAGTTTTGAGTTACAGATGTTTTCTTTAATATCGTTAGTTCTCTTATCGTTATTAATGTTTATTAAAACCAGGACTGTATCGTTAGTCTTTAACGTTTTTTTTTAAATTAGTATAGGAGTATCCAATGCAGCGTAATATGACATTACCATAATAGTGACCAAAACCATCTCGTAATATTAAAAAATTACATCAAAAAGTAATGATAATTGAAAAAATTGCAAATTGTTTGTGGCAAGTTCATTTCGCTCTTAAAAATTAACTAAAGCATGTATTGACATAAATTAAAAACAAAATACTAAGGAGTCATGGTTCTGACAGTAAAATTATATTTTAGAGAAATTAACACATGAAATTCTTGGACACGGTGTTTTATTTAAACTTAGGGTAAAAAACAACCCCTCGATTAACCCTGTATAATATGCCAAATACTAAAATTTATAAAAAACTGAGTTTACGAATTAAAGTTGATAAAATTATATACAGCTATCTAATATAGCTAGGTTTAAAAATATCAAAAATATAATACTTTAATTTTGACGAAAAATTTCTCTGTTGCGTTTTTTTTTGCATCTCAGTGTATTTTAGAGGATTTTAGTTACCTCTCTAATGATCCTTTTCGTTCGTTGGACATTTCCAGTAAGTTTTTCATACACATCATAGCCGAGGCGCAACTATCGCATTTGCTTAAGGCCATAATGTCTGTTTGAGTACCTTGGTCCAGCATTTCATCATTTCCCATTTGCAACATGGTCTTTGTTGTTATCTGTATAATATTTATTTATTTATAGAGATCGAAAGTTTTATCTTTAAAACGCAGTTTCTTTTTATCCTTTCGGGAAGTTGATATTTACCCTATCTCTACTTGCGGTTTACCATTCGCTTTTGTGTTATGGTTAGAAATTTTGTCATTATTCGTATTAAATGTT